GGCACAGAACAAGGCACAGAACTGTCGGTGAGTATAATTTCAGACGAAATAATTTATATAAGACATATAAGTTAAGGGTTAAATGATGAACGCGAGTTATCTATGGGTCCCTAGCATTTGGCCTAGAAAGCCATGAGGGCGGAACTACTCTATATCGCGTTCATTATCTATCTATCTTAGRATATAATCACACTCACGATTCTGGATTATTTATGAGTTTGTCACGTCGTTTGTTCCTCTCCCAAGAAAAWAATAATCTTTCAACGTGTCGTCTTTCACCGCTGTGAGTCCAACGGGTCGGGTCACTGGTTCGAACCCTGCGGTCGCCACACGTGAATTGAGTTTGTTTGATGTGTTGTTCTCTCCTATGCTATGAGGGTTTTCTACGAGTTCTCCGGTTTCCTCCCTCCGTAAAAATCAACATGTGAGTTGAGCGTTGTGTGCATAGAATATTGAATGTAGTGGTAGTGTGTGTGAGAGAAAAGTGTCCCCAATTAGTGCGAAAGCGCTAGAACGACTAGACACATAAAAGTGATTTATTTTATTTTTTTAGCAGTATTTAAACGGCACATTTTGTAAGCTTTGGAATTACAGAAATGAAATGAAATGAGAATTTACATAGTTAGTAGCAACTTGTCTACATGCAAACACAAGGGCTAAAGTTTCTGTCAAGTTTCAATACGATTTCAGGACAGAATTGTAAGTACATTATTCAATGAAAATACACAAGTCTGATATAAAATTTTAATATATTTATTTATTTATCGAATTATATTTTGACTAGATGCAAGAGCTAATGTCAAAGACCACTAGTTCAAGAATTAAATCGTATTAATCGTATAACACTCACAAATTCAGTCTACTTCAAGATCCTTCAATGCCATGTGGATACGACGGTAAGAATCTTCAGAAACTTCTCGTTCTTCGTGTCTAACCCTTTACAATTTAATACTCCTATTCTTAGTATATTCTCTATCGGTCAGCCATTCAATTCTCATTCTGTGTCTTTTTTTCTTCCATTGAGCTCTCATTCTTCGTGTGCAACTATCTAGCTTTTAATTCTCATTCTTCCATGTTCTGTTCTCGTTCAGTTCTCTTTTACCTGTTATTTGTTCCTTTTGAACTCTGTTTATGTAAGCAGCCACACAGACAGCCTTCCCTGCTAGAAGATTATAGGATATATTACCCATGTATTCCTGATAAAGAGAGTTRATATTTTGTTTTTCTGTTGATTAATCTCTGCAGGTGGTCTTCAAAATGGATGACAGAATAAAAGATAAAGAAATAAAATAAAATAAAAAACGAGCGAACAAACCAAGCAACGAACCAACGAACGAACGAAAGAAAAAACGAACGAACGAACAAGCGAACGAACAAACCAACGAACAAACCAACGAACTAATGAACGAACGAACGAACGACAAAGGAACGAAATAACGAACGAACTAACGAACCAACCAACGAATTAACGAAAGAAAAACGACAAAGGAACGAACGACGAACGAACGAACGAGGGAACAAACGAACGAACGAAGGAACTAACGAACGAACGAACGAATATATAGCTGCGTATCATCGGCATAAAGATGAAA